CACTTGTCTCCTTAAAAATTTTCTAACTTAAAATCTTATATATGTACTGTATCTAAAGTAGGAATAGCTTTAGAATAGAAGAGTGATAATTTAATATTTCTTTTTCATAAAGATAATAATTATTTTATAATTTTATGCATTGTTTTTAGTGTTTAATTTTATTAAATTACACGTCTAATATAATTTAATAAATAATCAAATTTATATTTTTAATAAAATATTAATATTTATTTTAAGATGAATTATGCCCCATCAACTTATTTTTCTGAATCCGTCATTGATTGAAACATATGCTGGTTCACCATTCGAAAGAGTAAAAACCAATTCATGAGAAAGATTAGTGGAACTAGATGAGGAAATCTTAACTGGAAGACCCTTATTAGAAAAGATATATACTGGTAGAATCATAGAACTGGAAAACACCAAGATCATTACCAATAAAAGTAGCCAAGGATTCAGTGTAACACTCCGTAGTCCATAGGCAATCCAAAGATCCGAATCCAAACATGAATCTCTTGAAGTGAAACCCTAGATAGAGGTTGATGCTCTTTCCAAGAAGAAATATACCAATTAAATGAAACCTTGCAAGAGTACGCTGGTGGAGAATAAAATACAGAACCGAAATAAATAACGAAGTTGCAATGACATTGCTATAAACTGTTGGATATTATAAAATTTTGATGGGCATTTCAAAAGAAATTATTATAATTTAATAATATTAATTACTATATCCCTTACTTAAATCTATTTATTTAGCCCCGTTATTTTATAACGGAATTCGTAATAGTGATTAAGGTGGTTTTATTATTTAACATTATGAGATCTGCTTGTACAAGATAGTGTTTGCCACAAGTTTTGGCAGAGCAGTTATACTTTTGGCCTTTCTCTCCTCTTCTATTACACTACTTTACCGTGCAGTTAATTAATTTTATTTTGTAAATTTCTATTGTCCTGTGTTTCTATTTTTAGTAGGAAGAATCTATTTAATCTTGAAGAGCTACCACATGATTAATCTGATGTAGTGAAATAACTCTTAAGAACAGTGTCTTTAGGCACAGCTTAGATAATGATTTTACCAACTGGTGCCAACATATGCCATTCGAACATGACCAATTGATCCATGTAACTTAGAGAAAAAATCAATTAATGCTTGAAGTTTGGAAGCATGAAGAGCTTGGCTATTAAGAACATGCAAGAACAGATAATGATTTCTATAAAACTCCAAATGAGATTATTGCAATTTGGTAGCAACATCTTGTAAAAAAAGCAATGCCACAAAGCAAGTAAACCAATTAGATGAGTATTGCATGTTGCAAAATAATAATAAGCATAACAACTTTTCCTTTGGAATAATGGGCTTTTAGAATCTAATTGTTATCAAATTAAATTTTAATTTTAAGATCTAATTGTCATTCTCAATTTACGAAGATAACATGAAAAATAAAATATATGAAACGCAATAAAACAATCAAGAACATGTAATTCAAGGTATAGTTGGACGCTAAATGTTAAATATTTTAATGACATTTCAAAAAGAATTTTTACTTTGATTAATAATGTTAATTATCATTTAAATCTAATTGTTTTGTAACTTATAACACCATTATTCTTTAAAACCTTTTCTTTAATTGCATTAAGGTGTCATTAATAGTGGCAAAAAAAAAAAAGGTTTCATTAATCAGTAACAATTGTCCAATGTTCATAAATTTTGCCCATTGCGAATCACAAAGTGGGAGCCACCGACCCGAGCTTTTGATTTCTTTAATTGATGCTGAATGGATTTGGAAAAACATATGCAGTTTGACACTAAAACCATTGTATGCTCCCAATCGTGTTAAGCAAATTAAGATACGTGAAGTTTTAATGCTATGTTTTTCATGATGAGTGATTTTTGAAAATTATGTTTGATTAATTCACAAAATATCCCAAATATAGGGACTGCGTGCATGATTGCAATATTCATTCATGCGATAATAGATAAGCGGGCCACGTGGTTATTGAACAATGTCTGAACAAAATTCTTGTTTAACGTTTTTTTGGATTAATAAACAATTGTAATTAAATGGGTGTTATACAAATGTGGAGCATTGATGAGATCAATTTTTAAACATGGAATGCATTAGTGTTTAAATATTATAATCTTGCCTCACTGCACATGAAATTGACGTTTGTTTTATTCAATGGTTGAGGAATGTCTCATATTTGTCTTACTATGTCATATAATCTTATTGAGATATATTTAGTGTGATGTGCTGAATTTATAGTGTGTGAAATTTATAATAATAATAATAATAATAATAATAATAAAGAATGATGACATGGTGTCTACTTGCACTGTTTTACAGACATTGTCCAAAAATGTTTTTCAATCCATTCACATATTAATATTTAAATTGTAGGTGATGTCTGCATGTCTTAATGTGTTTAAAATGATGAGAAATTCTAATTTAATCAAAATGGGAGGAACTTATATGGTAAAGTTTTAATTTAATTAGAATTATTGTTTTTTTTTACTGGAGACTAGAATTATTGTTATAAAAGGTATGAAAATATTTTTCATATGAGATACTTTAATAGGTGGGGGTGTTTAGCAAAAATATTTTGCTTTACTCTGAAAAAATAATTATATGTTGTATCACATCATTAGCCTCATTTTATAGATATCAAGGTGGTTCTGTGGTGGTTTCATGAGAATAATTTAAATGGAAGCTTTGTGAATTTTATGTGGCTTGAAACAAGTATATAAAAATATAATTATTTATCTAACGTAGATAAATGTATTTTAAAATTAGAGTATGATCTATTTATCTTGACATAAATATTCATGATTGTGAATAATAATTTATTTAATCATGTGTCATGGTCCTATCAAATATGAAATATTTTTGGATTAAGGTATTTGTGAATAGTGGATTCCCATTGTATAAAATTTACGAATGTTATTAATTAAATTGTATACTCATGTGAGAAGATCCACTGGTTATTATCCACCATAAAGTTTATCACTTTGAGGGATAAACGTTGGCATAATGTATAATGGATTTTCATCATATTAAAATAATACAATGGTGCTAATTGAATTTTATATTTAGATGAGTAAAAATCCATTGATAGCAAAGTATAATATTATGAGGGTCAGAGTTTACTAATATGGAGTTTGGCTAATGAACTTTTTAGTGAATAATATATTGAGTGTAAAATCAACATGGATTATATCGATAATTTGTGATAGCTGATTAGCAATAGTTACGGCTAAAATACATTGAGTGTAATACTAATATAGAACATGTCAATGATTAGTGACAGCTGATTAGCAATAGCTATGGTTAAAGATTAGACCTTTTTAATGGCAAGTGTAGGCATATTTGTTTAAGGCATAATATTATAAAGTAGTTACTAAAAGATAGAGTTATCTCAATTGAATATGTGAAATTAGATATAAATCTAGCGAATCTATTAACTAATCCCCTAAGGAAGAAACAAATTACAGAAACATCGAGAAAATGGGACTTAAACTTGTTCGAAACTAATAGTGATGATAACCCAACTTTGGCGATTGGTGATCCCTTGAGGAAGAGTAAGAACGAGTCGTTTGTTAGTTCTATTAGCATTAAAATTATTTTGGCCCTCTTTCTATGGTGTAGGAGAAAGTGTTAGAATGTATTGTTGATGAGGCCAAACAAAGCTTTTAATGATTTTATATTCCTTATGGAAAATGTATTTATTGCATGTATATTAGAAATCACCTAGACGAATGTGAAGTAAGGTCGCCATTATGAAATCATGGTGAAATATCTAGAGCATTTGTTTAAATACTAAGAGTATGCATGATTGTCATAGCGTAAAACTGTTGTTAATGGCAAAAATTGTGGGGGCATAATTTGATTAATAAGGCTCTAATATACACTCAAGAGTTTGACTTCTCTATGTACTAAGCTATATTAATCTAGGTCTGGTTCATAGTTCAAAACACACCAAATTTGGAATGATTATATTCTATATGAATAACTCAAATGATAATGTTTCTTTTAACATATGCAAGGGATATTGCGTGTATGTGTCAAAAAAAATAAAATCATATATTGCTCAAATGTATAAACATTTTAGTACATATATTTAGGTGTGGATTTGAGCAAGTAGATAGGTTTGGAGGAAAAGTAATATTAGGCAATATTATTATATGGAGTTACTTTTCCTTTTGAAATATGTGTGATATTGTTGGATATTTTACATATTTTAATGATATTTTAAAAGAAATGTTTATTTTAATTAATTATATTAATTATCATTTAAATCTATTTCTTTTGTAACTTCAAAGGCCATTGTTCTTTGAAATCGTTTTTTAATTGCATTAAGATGCCATTAATAAGTGATAATTACCCAATGTTCCTGAGTCTTTGTCCATAAAAGGCTCTACAAATCACATAGTGGGAGCCACTACTTTGAACTCCCGGACACTTCCCTCCCCTTCTCTTCTATTGCTTCTCTTGAGTTATTCTATATTTTTTTACTATTTTATCACTTTGTTTATTTTATGAGAGGGGGTTTTTTTAATCTTTGACAGGTTTCACAATTGTATTAGAATTATTCTTAAAAATAGTGTTTGGGCATAATTCAAAGCAAATTTTCTATAAAATTTTTTGATATTAAATATAAACATCTCTATTGATAAAGATTCACAACTTAATTTGTTACATGAAATATTAATCCATCCAATGTCATTGGTCGAGGCTTTTTAATTTTAATATTGACACTGGTATTTATTATTTCCAAAACAAAAATTCTCTTTATAACATCAAAAACTGGTGGGACGAAAAACATCATGATTTCTCATTTCCATATCTCTTGCTTTATCATGGTGCATGCTCGTGAAAGCTATCAAAAGGTAAACACTTTTGCGACGACCAATTACTTTCCGCTGTGAAAGCAAATCGACCAGGATAGATTCCGGGATCAAAAGTACTTAATTAGTATGTCTCCTTACTTTCTTTTCTGCCTTTTGCCAATAATTAATAATTATGTCTGAAAACTCATTCAATCAATCAATTCTTTCTTTTCTTCTGTCCCCTAATCTCTACTCTATATTCCTGACCCTCTGACTTTATTCTCAAAAGATTCTTCAAACTTTCGAATCCACCATTTCTGAGTTCGTTTCTGGGTTCTCTCTCCCATTTGTTTCCAAAATTTTCCACGTTCCTCCACCATCTCTCTGCTCGTCTCAGCCAATTCTTCTTTCGGTCCTTACAGCGTTGGACCAACCGTGCTTCTCGTTTGCCGAATGGATTTCGAGCGGTGGCGATGGCGGTGGTTTTTGGTGTTGATCCGTGTTGTTGCTACTAGTGCTTTAGAACCCAAGCAGGAGGTTGTTTCTCGAATTGCCTTCGGATCATGCTCCAATCAAAGCGCTCCTCAGGTTTCGATTCTTCCTACTTTCGTTTTTTTTCCCTGCTCTATTTTTATTCTAATTCTTTTCTCGTTCGTTTTACCCGATATGAAGTGTTGTTCTGTTTGCGACCAATGTTACGTGATATTGTACTTAGAAGCTGACTTTTGATTATTCTGTCTGTTTTGCGGCACGTAATTAGGAATATTTTGACTTAGCCCACTATGTCGGTACTGTGTAAAAGCGACAAAAATGCTTAAATAAGTGGTGCATACATGCTATTCGTACTGCGTAAAGAATCAGAGGTGGAAATGAACATGAACAACATGATATAACCATTTTAATAAATTGAGATGCCCATGGAAGAGTTTCGTCCCAAAAAATAATTCACTAGGTGAAAGACAACTTAAACTCCAATGGTTTACATCAATTTCAGGTTGAAATAGAAGGTAGCCGAGATTTTAGTTTACAATATTGAAGTTTATGGAAGATGCTTCCTTTCTATTATTTCATAGACAAGCCAATGCTGCCTTAAATTTTCAATAAATTCAAGTAATCAAGAGTTGGAGTTGCACATTAGATGCTTTCCAAGCCCACCCTGGCCCATCAAGCGAGCTTATTGGCTTGAGCTTGAGTTGCAATCTGAGGCTAGATCCTTGTTTAACGAGTTTTCTTTGGCTGCTTTACTCTAAACCACCTCCTCCTCAGCTCAAGTTCAATATATATTACTTTTTGAATCTTTATTGGGATAATTAAATGAAGTGTCAATATCATGGTATAGCTGGTGCTTCCTTTCTATATGAGTGGCATTCATTTTGATGCCCATTGTAACCCTGTCTTGTTTTATGCCAGCCAATTTGGGATGCAATAATTGATTTCCATCCCCAGATTTTTATATGGATGGGTGACAACATATATGGAGACTTGAAGCGGCCTTTTAAAATCTTTGGACCAGAAAGGACAATTGGGCCATGGAAGAACGTTCCACGGTTTGTCCCTTCCTCTCAGCAAGAAATGGAGGCTAAATACAGGGAAGCCAAGACCAGTCCTGGCTATTCTCAACTTCGAGAAAAAGCTGAGGTGCTTCATCCTTAGCTTTTGTACTCGGTTTTTGTGTAGAGATTCTCAATAGAAACATAACATTTTTGTATTTTTTTTGGGGGAATTTACTGAGGTAGTGGCAATGTTTTCTCATTTATGTAGCCTAACTTTACATTTGGAATGTTATAGGTTATTGGTACTTGGGATGATCATGATTATGGATTAAATGATGCAGGAAAAGAATTTTCTGAAAAAATCACCAATCAAAAGCTGCTTCTTGACTTCTTAGATGAGCCTCAAGATAGCCCAAGGTTGGTGGATAGTCTCCTATGTTGTTTATGATATTGGACTTGTCTGGGTACTAAATCATGTAATTGTTTTACTTTCTGTACAGGATTACTATTAGGCAATTCTTAGGTTTCAGGTGTTAAAATACTTTTGAGTGCATTAGCACATTCTTTTTCCTCAGGGACAGTGATACAAGTCTACATACGGTTATTGCCTTCATATATGATCAAGTGCATTAAAATATCCCTAGGTAGCAAAAGCTGATGTGGATACTTATAGTAGTTTTTCATTGCAGGCGAAAGCAGGCTGGTGTATATGCATCGCATACATATGGTCCCCTGGGTAGAGACATCAAGGTATTCAACTTAAACCTCACTGTTATTTTTCTTTTTTAATCTCTATTATTTATTTATTTTTTTTCACAAAATCACGGCATGATTTTTATGCAAAAACCGCTACATAATCATGTTAACCTTTCATGTGACAGTTGATAACCCACTTTGTTATTCTCAATAATAGAACTCAACAGTTGATTTTAAAAAGGGGTGTGATTAGTTAAGCATGTATCTTGTACTAACGCATGTTATTTTGTGAATGTAAACCTTTCAGATTATCCTCTTGGATACCAGATACCACAGAGATCCTATAGGAAGTGATGGAACCATCTTGGGGAGTTCACAGTGGCTATGGTTGGAGCAAGAGCTAAAGGGTCCAGCTACAGCCGTTACCTTAATTGTATCTTCTATTCAGGTGCAGCTTTAGTTGCCAACTTGTTTTGATATATGAGATAGATCAGTATGTGTAGATTTATGCATTCAATGAACTCATCACAGTAGTTATGCATGAATCTTGCTTTTTTATTGAATAAGTATTATGCTTGCAGTCTTGATGGCGTGGGATTCTTTGAATATGCGTAAATAGAAGAAAGGAAATTGTGTTTGACTCAACTAGCATCTTTCTGCACTATTATAGCTTTTAGGTTCCTACTAATGCAAAACCTTGTGATCTTTAGTAGAGTCAGCTTTCACCTTGTGACAGTGTAAAAACTGTCGATAAAGCAGTTCCACTATTTTCTTAATGTAAAAATTGATGAAAGAATTTGTGGCACATTTTATGCTTTTTATTTCATTGTTATTAGTCACAGTGTTGGGGGTTCTCTTGGCCATCAGGAGCTCAGACCTGACAGATGCCTATCATTCAATGCTTGATTGCATTGGTTTGTTTTGGATACAGATTTATAGGTTTAGTTAATATGCATGTCAGGTGATATCAAATCTTTCAGCAGCCACTCACCCGCTGTTTGCTATGGAATCTTGGGGTCGTTTTCCTAAGGAAAGAGATCGGCTTTTCAAATTAATAGCAGACAGTGAGGTAATAATTTCATTGTATTTTTTTTTTTAAAAAGAATCTGCACCTTTCTTGTTAAGGAACTACGTAATATTAAAATTTACCTAGTGTTTAAAGAAGTTATTTTAACATTTTATTCACCTTTTCTTCTTGTGAAGAGGAATGGAGTAATCTTTATAAGTGGAGACGTTCACTTTGGGGAAATCACAAGATATGACTGTGCACTGGACTATCCACTGTATGATATAACCTCCAGTGGGTTAACTCAATCAATTGAGGAAGTAGTCCCACGTTCCTTGCTTTTTTTAGTGAGATTCATTGCATGGTTAACCCCATCTACAATGAGAGTTAAGGGTCAGAACTGCAGATACAAATCTTGCATATATGGTATAGCTGACTTCTTTTATTTTTGTGGTGTATGGTATGTACCTGGGATTTCCTGTTCTGATGTTTCAAATGTTGGATTTTTCTTAGGCAAGCCTAATTTTGGAACTATCGAGATAAATTGGGATTCTCACCCAGTGACGATGATATTCAAAGTCAGGGATGTAGATGGAGTTGCTGTGACAGATGTAAATGTTTCGTTATTGGAATTACAGAAATCAAAGGTTGAGGCTGGGAACAAAGAAAAAGCTAGACATTATGAGAGGCATTGCTCTCTTGAATCTAGTCTGCCATGGATCATAAGATATCGTCTGGCTATCCTTTTCTTTTCCATCTTAGCTGGTAAGTCAATTCTAAATCCTATCTACTCCATTTCATCATGCACATACTGTTACCACCTAAATCCTTCACTACATATTAGTTCTTGAAATTACTGTTGTCCATTTCTGTCATAGGCTTTTTAGAGGACATGGAAACAATTTTTTCCTATAAATAAGTTCTATGGTTTCTTATGAGGATATTGGTAACTTGCTATTCCAGGGCCTTTCTCCGGAAGACCTTTTGACCAAAGGATTTTTTTTTTTTAAAAACAATTCTTCTAAAATAGTGTCTTTGGATTGCGGTTATGATGCCTTGGTCTTTGTTTAATAGAGTCTTTTAAGATATTTGCGTCGGTCTTTTTGTGAGTAAACTAGGGGAAGAATATTCCTAACTTTTTTGATAAATGGAAAGTCCAAGTCAACGATACTACCTACTCATTGTTCTCATTCTATTATTATAGGTTCTTTTCTCCTCTTTGATTTCCATAAGTGCTGTTCTAGATAATGGGTCCCTTATGGCATGATTGGATTGATGACTAGAAATTCTAACTCAGATTCTTTTATTTAGATTTAAATTTAGTTCTTTTTTCCTGCTTTTAAATGTCTGGATTGAAGAAAATAAATTAGAGGATAAGCCATGTCCATTTAAATTTAAATCATTGGATATTTGAAGATATCCAAAATAAAATTTCTCCTCTCATTCCTTCTCCATTATCATTAATATAGGAAATTCCAATTTGTATTTTGAGTTTGCATATATATATTTTTATATAAAGTATAACTATGGATAATTCCTGAATAATTTCTGGCATCCAATTTGTGATGTTCTGTTTTATTCTGCAGTGTTGGTTCTTGTGCTCCTTGGGCTCGTTTATGCTATCATTAAACTTGTCAGCTGTGGAGTCTCCAAACACAAGAATGATTGAGATTTGTGGTTACTCTCCCCTCACACTCTTTTTTCTGAGTAAAAATAGAACTGTCCTCGTGCATTGCAAAGTAATGCGAGATGAGTTGCATTGTTTATAACTTATGAATAGCACGGCTTGTTATAAATTTTATATAGTATATGATATAGTGTTGATTATCACAAATATATAACATGGCAGTTTAGTGTGCAAGAAGCTAATGAAAACTCACTACTGACCAGAGTGAATGTTTGGATTGGTAAAAGCCACTGATACATTCTACCAAAAAAAAAAAAAAAAATATTCCACTGATACATCAATTTGGATAAGCATGTATTGAGCTTCTGTACCTGCTATAAGATTTTTTTTTAATTTTTTTTGTATTTCAATTTTATTTAATTTTTTGTGTGTTCTCTAGAAAATGTGTCAAGGTATTTAGGCTGTCTAGTGTTGACAAGGTTTCTTAAGTCCTATCTCAGTATTCAATTCTTCTGCTGTTTACTCTCTCTGTTAAAAAATATAAGACATTTTTTAAAGAGTTGAATATTAAAAAATGTAAGGCATTTTTAGTCTTTTGATGTGTACTTAATTCTTTTTTTTTTAAAGTGCCTATATTGATAATAACTTTACATTTATTGTAAGGTGTTTAATAGGGATAAATATAAAAAAAAAAAAGTTAATTTAAAAATAGATAACTATTTTATTGAGAAATGAAATTTACTTAAAAATGTTTTAGATTTTGTAATGGAGGGAGTATGCTAAACAATCATTTCAATAACTGCTACATTAAAATAGTATTAACAGAATAATAGCCCCACCAAAATGCATCCATGATTTTTAGATGGATGTTTGTTTTTATACTAGTTATGTTGTAATTTAAAATAGTAGGATAAATTATAAATTTTTATCAAAAATTTATTATCCATCCTTTAATAATTTACAAGTGGTGTAAAAAGTGCATTCACCTATAAATTACAAAAACATTAGTTAAGTTGTAACTTTTTAGGAAATTTATAAATGTTAAAGAGTTAACTTGGAAAGTGTGAGTGAAGATATATAAAGAACAATGTATAAATAATAATAACAATAGTAATAATAATAATAATAATTATTATTATTATTAATTATTATTTAAACATTATTCTTTATAAATCTTCATTATTATAATTATTATTATATGTATTAAAATATTGATATTTTAATAATTTATTATTAAAACAAATATAATGTTTTTAAGTTACTTATTGGTGTTGTTGTGAATAATGATAATCTCAAAATCACCTGATAGTGGATCAAAGTGATTAATTAAAATGATACTTTGATCTTTTATATTGATAAAAAATAATATTCTTTTCTTGGAATTTATTTGTAATTTAGAGATTTTAATTATATTAATTTTTTATAAACTACTTATTGGTAATTTTTTTATAGTTGTTTAAGTTAATTAAATTGTGAAAGTTAACAAAATTTGTTAACGATGGGGGATAATAGTATAAAAGCATGGGACAAAATTATACTATTTTCAAATATTTAAGATGAACTAAAATGCCATTTAATGTTTTTAAATAATGCTGGCTTGTTTGAATATTTAGAGTGGTAAAAAGAATGATTGAATAAAAAGATATAATTTTTTTTATTACAGGATATAAAATATTTAAAAAAACCCAAAATTAAATGTAATGAAGATTTGTGGCAGGCTACTTTGATAACTAAATTTTATGCCTCATGCGATATACATTAATATTAACCCTCATTTTTTGTTTAAAGTGAATAAAAAAGGAAAGAGAATATTTTAATGAGTTTAATTTTTTTAAAAAAAATGGATAAATATGTTATAAAATTTATTTGATAGATGTAAAAGAAAAAAGAAAAAATAAATTAAAATTTTTCTAGCCGAAAGTCTCTATTTTTCTAAAATTGAAGTAATTAAAATTTAAAATCTCACCTCCCAACCATTTTCTTTGATCTAGACAAATCATAAAAATTAATAAAATTTAAATTACCAGTAAATATTAATTTGATAATTTTATAAAAGTAGTATCTTATAGAAAATGTGAAATAAAATTGTATATGTGGTTACAGATAAATAATTATAATAATAAAAAATAACTATATACTACTTTTATTCCTGTAGCATATTTGTGATTAGAAAATAGAAATAAACAATAACTTATTTTATCATAAAATTTTTCAATCCATGTATAATCAAATATAAATAACTTTGGCAAAAAAAATCAAATATAAATAACAATTTATTTTAATCTATGAATTGTTATCTTCATGTAAATTGAAATTCTAGAACATATATCATATTTTAGATTTTTTTTATTTTAACTGTATGAATATCTCATTTTATTTTAGTATTTGCCACCCATGCATAATAAGCATATAAATAATAATAGGAGGATAAAAATTAATCCCAAGAAAGTATTCACATTTAATGCTAAACTGTCTTAAATAAGATTACCTTCAATAAAAAGATACTTATGAGCAATAAAAAAAGATAACAATTTGTGTTATTCTTGCACAAATTATTTTACTATATGATATCATGTACATATAAAAATAGAAACATTTTTTTATATGTGATCCCAACATAAATTAAATTTCAGGTTAGTGAATAAAATAGACTTTGAACTCTTACTCAAAAAGCGCTCTAGACCCTGAACTTTTAAAATGTGTAAAATATCCTAAACTTTTAAATTCATCTCAAATTAAACTCTATTGTTATCTTTTTTAATGTTGTTACTATTTATCGTGGGTCTCAATTAATTAATACCATAGATCTTAAATTATTAAACGAGTATCGTATTGAACCCTGAACTTTAAAATTTAAAGCAAATTACCTTCACTATTTATGTATAAAACATTGACTATTATATAAATCAAATTAGCTTTAGTATTGTTCACTATGACAAATAACCCATAATTTTGTAAAATAATTTTTTTTGCAATATTTCCAAACAATTAGTATCTTATACTTTCATATACTCTATAACTTTGGTTTAATCTTATTTTAAATAATATTTATTTATTCAATAGTAAAAATTTGGGATCTCATTTGAAAATAAGTTTAGGTATCATAAAATTTTATAGATGATGGATGTGAAAATTGATGATTTCATCAACAAATTTAAAATTCAAAGTAACTAGTTAATTAAAATTTTCTAATATTTAAACCTATTTTTTAATAAGATCTCAATTTTTCACCATTAAATAAATACACATTATTTAAAATAAGACTAAATCATAGTTATAGAGTATATGGAAGCATGTGATGCCAATCGTTTGGAAAACGTTGCAAAAAAGGACAAAAAAAATTATTTTACAAAATTATGGGTTATTCTCAATACAACGATGCATTTATTGCGACGAACCACACTGAAACTAATTTAGTCTCATAATAGTCAATGTTCTATATATAAATGGTGGGAATAATTTGCTTGAAATTTTAAAATTTAGAGTCTAGGATGCTAATTGAGTAATAGTTTATAGTTTGTGGTGCTAATTAACTAGGCCCTCAATGAATAATAATAATATTAAAAAATGATAACGATAGAGTTTAAAGGTTTAGGGAACTTTTTGAGCAAGAACTCAGAGTCTATTTTGCTTATTAATCCTAAATTTCAATAACATTTTTTAGTTAAAAAGTTATTACTTGTAAAGATAAATAACCACATATTTTACTTAAGGATTTCTTATTCTCATACATATGAAAAATGTAAATAACAATTTTTTATTATGATTTGTATGTATTTTGTAACCATGATTTTTCTTAGAAAAATAATTCCTCTTGGCTTAATTAAAACCCTATATTACACATTCCACATTTACCACTTACAACCACATTTACACTAAAAAATAGATAAATTAAAATATAATTTTAAAGTAATGATTGACTATAATTGTTAGCATTCAATGTTAGCAACTTCAATATTTTAAAATCAAATTTTAATTTATTTGGTACAAATACTTCCTCCGTTTAAAAATGTAAGACATTTTTTGAGGAATTAGATGTTAAAAAATATAAGATATTTTTAATTTTTGGAGGCGTAATCATTGTCTTTTTTTCAAAAGTGCCTTTATTGATAATAATTTATATTTATTATAGGGTGTTTAATAGGGATAAATATGAAAAGATAGGGTTAGTTGAAAAGTAGGTAACTACTTTATTGAAGAGTGAGATTCATTTAAAAATGCCTTATATTTTTAAACAAAAGGAGTAGTTGGATTATTGTAGAACTATAATGATTTACTTTGAATTTGAATTCACTAAATGGCCTATAATTTACTCATTCAATGAGTATATCAATTATATACATTGAATTATATTAATGTTTGAAAATTAATAAAATACATTTTTATAAAATTTTAAAATAACTTTGACAATTAAAACACTCCTCAAATTTATTTTCTCTTTTAAAATTTAAGATTTGGTGGTTTTTTTTTAGTCTTGTATGACAAAATATCTCACAATAGTTCAATTAAATTGAACATTTGTTGTCATGTCACATGTAACACTCATTAAGTAATATAATTTATTTTAGTTATTAAATCCAAATCTGATGTATCTCAAAAAGTCATTGTCACCCCCATATCGTGATTTCCTCAAAATAGGAACATTAATAAGTGTAGGAATTGTTACCAAAATTTTTAAGGGCTAATTTTGAAAATATTTTTCTTTAAAAAAAGTGGTCAACAATAACCAGAATAAGGTTTGAGAGTTGATTGTGTATAAGAAAAATGTTAGGCACCCTACAACTCTCGTCTATTAAAACGTTTACCTTAAGTTGACTAAACAAAATTATAAAACAGCCTTAAATGTAATTTAATTACTCTTAGTTAGTAAAATAATGAAAAGAAAATAAAATTAAAATGAAAATTAAATCAAGAAGAACATTATATTTTTACACGTTGAACTTGACCTAAGATGATAATTTAGAGCCTGCATATTATTCAGAGGAATTAAAACCTACGTAGTTTGGTATTTTTCAAAAAATTATTTTTTAATTAATTTTGAAAGTCATTTTTTTATTGGGTTTGTATATTTTCATATAAAAAAAGAAACTTCTTCCCCTACGAGAGAAAGGATTTTGGAGAAAATTACATTGAAATTCCTACGGAGATTTTGAAAATCCTGCACAAAAATTAATTTATTTTAGGGTTAATGGCAAAAATGTTGTGAAACTTTTT